ATTAAGAGCTATCCTCGAAAAAACGTTGTGTAGGTTGCTACCTAAAAAGTTGGTAGGAAATAGTTAGAGCCACTTGCCACTTGCCGCTTGATTTAGGACCGCGGCTATTATTTGAGCCAAGTTTTTTTAGGGGTGCACTATACTCATTTCTGGCCTGCAACTCTTTTAGCATACTCCGTGAACCTAAAAGCGTGAGAATTGAATTACAGAGGGAGGGGTTGAATATTCCCGACCCCACAGATTTCCTGCAATAGGTCTATTCTGAGATTGGAATGAATAAGTCAGAATGAACTTTGTAAGCTTAGTTAGAAGGTTGATACGAATACTTGGGCCAAGATCCATCACCTAAATTGGAATAATTATGCAATATTTATAAACTACTGATGAGTAGCCAGTAACATGCATAATTTGCATTATTTTCCGAGCTTCATTACGCCACCATTGGCAGGACGTAAACCATTAAACAGCGTATTAATCTTATTTAGGGTTCAATACACACTAGAACCGGTCCTTCGAGCGTCTTCATCCAGAACTGCATAAATTAAAGTGTGATTTGATTTGATCGGGCTCCTCGTTAGAGAGTAAGTTAATTTCTAAAAATTGTCATATCGAGCCAAAATGGTTAGCCGAGTTTCACGCAGATCGAGATTAAATGAAAATCCACGCCATTATCCAAGCCAGCTAGGGCTAAGAGAGTCCCATTACGCCGATCACAACGCGTCCAATCGTCGAGCTGACCTCCCACCCTCATTTCAGGTATTGCACAGTCACTTGCAAGGAATATGTATCAGGAATTGATGACTCACAGAACAATCGATTATGGTGTGTTTGCCCTTATGCGGTGGTCTGCGAGAGCTTTAATTTGGAGTTGTGAGACACCGCGAAACGCTAGTATATAGTCTTACAGTCATACCACTTCGGCGAACACAATCCCCGCAGGGCGCATGTAATCGAATATAAAGGTTAGCAAGCTGACAATCCTCTTCTCGGAGAAGAAGCAGATGCAAGAGATGCAGTATTTGTAAAATATAGTCACTATGATACTGCACACTTAGGATAATTAACGGATCCCCTTTTGAGGATAACTGCCCGCTTGTGCGCCTATTGCTTGATGACCGGCGCGTGAGTCGTGACCTGCTGAACTTTCATCCCACGTGGTGGAATTGGGCGTGCTGATTGCTTGGCCATCTGGCTCCCTGACGCCGACATTAGAAGACACGTTGTCCTGCGCTTTCCTTGAGCGGCGAATTGCTTTGGTCAAACTGAGCCCCAGCACTGACTGGGCAAGTCGTTGCACCTGTGTATAGAGGGG